GTCGGAAACGCGACGGGTTTTTTTTTTCAATTTTTTTTTTTTTTTTTTTCGATTGGCAATCGAATTTTTAATCGAGAATAACGTGACGATATTTCTCCACTGATTTTATTTGTTTTAGCAAGTTGCGGGTGACAAAAAATTTTTTTGATTTTGTGTCAATGCTCGAGTTAGTTGGAATAGTAGGTGTATATATGTATATATCGTGTCTCGGGATTTACCGCGAAACCCTTGGGTGGTTAAAAAAAAAAAGTTTTTTTTTTATATTTTACCCCTGCTCCGTCTTGGTACGATTTTAGTATATATATATATATTTTTTTTTTTCACGCTTTCTTTCCACCCCAAGTTCTTACGGCAAATGGCGCGCGAGCCTTTTAATTCTCGTGCCTCTTTTTATTCTCGCCATTTGATTCTCGGCCAGCAACGTAGAATGTGGCTGAATATTCATGAGAACTATAAAACCTAAATACCCGTCGCGAAATGCCCGGGCTCTATCCGCCCGCCGCTGCTGCTTGAATATCGGCAACAATGTCGAGTAAGGTGGCCGCTAAACGAAGTGGCATGAATATTAAGAATTTTTTTTAACTTTTCAATTTTTCTTTTGATCCATTTTCTTTTTCAACCCTTAAACCCTGTTAACCCATCCTCGTGCCTCTTGTGCCCTTGTGTGCTGAGCCCTTGTGTATTCGTCATTATCTTCTTTTGCATGATTATCCCCAAGGTTCCGTGTACGGTGTAGGTTATGAAGTCTCAAGGTGGTTTCACAACGATTCAAAATGAAACGCGAATTTAATGTTTATGTAGTGAACAATTGAAATCCAAAAAGAGGTTAATTTGACTAACACAAAAAATTTTTCGTCATTGCCTCTACAAGCATACCACCCCTTATGCACGGCACAAATATATGTACGAGAAATTGAAAAAAAAATTTTTTTTCAAAATTCTCAGACAATCCTACATAAAAAAAAATATATATCTTAAGCCACCCCTCACGCTCAGCCCGTAAATTTAATTAACATCGAGCGATTTGCTGGCAGCCGCCCTGTCAGAAAGTGAAAGCTGACGTAACAATTAGAAAAAATTTGAGAAATCTAAAAAAAAAATCTCGTACCCTCCAAAGGAAAACTTTTCAATTTATTTAATTAAACATTTCCACCCCAACGAACACATTGACTCCACACTCAATTTCCAATTTACCTCCTTCGATTGAATTACCTCAGTTTTCCCTATATGCGCCGTCGGTTCGCAAAAAAAAAACTAATTTTTCATTTCCAAAAAAAAAAATACCCAACAAGTAGTATCGAAGAAAAAAAAATTGCACTCCAAATTTTTCTTAAATATTTTTAATAACCACGCATGGTCCATTGGATCACACGTACCAACCATCCCGCCAACCTTTATCCACCCATCATCCTATATACGTCGAAGCAATTTCATACATCGTACAAAAGCGATACCGCTCTTGCTTTGATGACTCGTGTGAGCGTACCTTTATGTAGACACTCACCCACCATAATATCAGATACACAAGGAGAGCTCGTACAAGGTTCCTATATCTATATATATATATCCATCATTCTCTCTGTGTGTCTATATATATATATATATATACGCACACAAAATTCTCCTATCACTTGCTGTAACAATGCATTTTGCAGGACAGAATAAAAAGAGGGAATCTGTCATCGAAACGAGAGCACTTTGTCTCTCCCCTGTCTTTACCAGTCAGTAGGCTGCAGTATATAGAGTACTGTATCGATAATGGCTAAAGGGGTTGATGAGAATGTCGTATAGTACGGTGAAGCGCAACATACTATATATGTATATACAGGGTGTTCCGAAACTACCTGACCCGGTGGGTATGGCGGTGTTCGGTAAGCTTCACTGATCACGAAAATGACCTTCTTTTTGTCCGGAAGGTCATAGTTTTTAAATGGGAGCAGGACAAAGTTGACCAATCATAGCGAGGCGTCACGAGAAACGTAGGCACCTACGAACTCTGAGTTTTCTTCCCTCGCTTTTGTTTCTCGGTGGCTTCGGGCAGGATGACGTCAGTCGAAGACATGCCTATTGGAAACAAGAAACAAGCTACCGAGAAACAACAGCGAGGGAAGAAAACTCAGAGTTCGTAGGTGCCTACGTTTCTCTTGACGCCTCCCTCTGATTGGTCAACTTTGACCTGCTCCCATTTAAAAACTAAGAGCTTCCGGACAAAAGGAAGGTCATTTTCGTGATCAGTGAAGCTTACCGAACACCGCCATACCCACCGGGTCAGGTAGTTTCGGAACACCCTGTACAATATTGATTTATATGCCTCCCTGGCTACCATAGCTCCTGACAACCCCGGCCGTTTTTGCTCGGTCCTGTCTGCCTGACTTGAAGCAACGTCTCGGTACCTTCGGGAGGCACCACTGATCACGAAAATGACCTTCCTTTTGTCCGGAAGGTCATAGTTTTTAAATGGGAGCAGGTCAAAGTTGACCAATCAGAGGGAGGCGTCAAGAGAAACGTAGGCACCTACGAACTCTGAGTTTTCTTCCCTCGCTGTTGTTTCTCGGTAGCTTGTTTCTTGTTTCCAATAGGCATGTCTTCGACTGACGTCATCCTGCCCGAAGCCACCGAGAAACAAAAGCGAGGGAAGAAAACTCAGAGTTCGTAGGTGCCTACGTTTCTCTTGACGCCTCCCTCTGATTGGTCAACTTTGACCTGCTCCCATTTAAAAACTATGACCTTCCGGACAAAAGGAAGGTCATTTTCGTGATCAGCGAAGCCTCCCGAACACCGCCATACCCACCGGGGTCAAGTAGTTTCGGAACACCCTATATATATATATACATATATATGCACATACGTGGACAACACAAAAGTTTACTTCCCTTCGGCTTCTGCCCCGGCTAATGGACCAATTTCGCGGAAGAGTCTGCGATGCGTTATTTGAAAGAAACAAAATAAGGGATGAAATTTGCGAGCACAGGAGTAAATATAGTCTCAAAGTGCGCGTACGCCGTAGATATACATACGACGAGATATTTAGCGGGTTCCAGGCGGAGGGGGGTGAATGAATGAAAATAGGGGTGGCGTTCAGATATTTATCTTAAAAAAAAAGAGAAAAAAAAAGAAACACTTGTATCCGAAATAAATTATTTTCCAGAAGCTCCGCGAGACTTTACCTTGGGACGTTGCGACGTGTCTCTGACGTAGGAGAGTAAAGGGATGAACGAGGGGGTGAGTGCATTAGGATGCTGTGTCGTAAAGATGAAGAAAAAAAAAAGAAGAAAAAAAAAGGAAAAATATAATACGAAAGAATAGAGAGAGCATCGAGAGTATAAAGGGATGCTGCTTCGGCTAAGGTGATGCTGGGTTGAGTGGGGGACGAGTGAGGGTGGATCT